GCCTGTATTTGTGCTTAGGATTGTCCCAACCGAGGTGTAAGACCTTGCATTTGGCATTCTTCCACTTCTTATTTTCATCCTTGTAAGAATAAACATAAAGAATAAATTACACCTGTTGAAAAGTTGACAGTGAAAGAATATCACACTGGGAGCCTCTTCATGCAATCAGGTCCCTGAATCCAAACCATAGCAAGTGTAGCCCATTGGGAGGTAACGAAAAACAGCTTTGTACTAGTTAGGGACAATCTATCTGCATAACCAGGTGAGTAACCAGCTCTTTGGCTGGGTTATACTGTGGCTCACTTTTGATGGTTACCTTGAAAATGTATGGGGCACAGTTTTTAAACAACAACTTCTCCCCTCCAAACAACTCTTTAGGAGTAGCAAACAAGTGGAATACAAGGTTTTCTGAAGCATTCATTGAAATCCCCGTTTCCAGCATAATAATAACCAATAAATGAACTTCCAGCTACAAAGAAAATCAGGTTTTACAAAATAATAAAGCCCCATATCAGCCCATTGGCAATACTAGAAGTGGAAAAAATATGAGTGCTTGCATGGCCCAAGACACAGAGGTAAGATGTTTTTTGAATCTAACTTAAAAATCTAAACGCTATGGCATCAAAATACAACTTCTCTTTCCAGACTAATGAGAAACGTGCCTATTTTTAGTGTGTCAGTAAGTAGCTGAAAACAAAAGCCTATATTGTGACAACCCTCAAACATCAGCAGCTTTTCCAATAAAACAAAAGATAGAGTAGCAAAGCACTGAAAACAGCTTCACAGTTAATTGCAAGTTAATTTATTTCACTGGATCATCAAGAGTTGGGCTGCTGTATTGAATCAATCTCTGTCCTGCCCTAGTGATGCCAGTGACCTGGTGGAGCTTTCTGCAGAACGCTAGTCCTTGTCTGGTTGCACTGAGATGTGGGTGTATGTATGTATACATTTACCAGAGGTGGACTTTTGCACTTTCTAAGGAGAAAGGTCATGCAGACATTTTTTTTTTTTTTTTTAATACACCCCAAGCTCATTTGAACAGTATCAGCAATATAAGTTACAATTGCCTTGAAGTTGTACCAAAGCTTTAATCTTCCTAACAACATGGATTTACCTACACAGTCTCAAAAGTATAATCTTTGCAGCTACATTATTATAAGTCTATTTATCATTCAAAGCCTATTAGCTCTTTCTTGTGTAGGATTCCTGGTCTATCGGGAAGCTGTAAATTAGGATTTTTAAAAACAAGACTTTCCTTTGCACAAACCCTGTAGTAATTTAGAAGAGCACTCTGATTAAAAAAAAGTGAGCTTCCTAATTAATAGTCTTTTACTGATTCCTCCAATAGCTTAATTAAAATAAACAAGCAGCAGAATTTTAACATTATTATTTCTAACAAGGTTTTTTTCTTAATTAGCTCATTTTACTACTAATATTTCTACCTTATTTCTCATTAGAGTCTTTCATAGTGAATCCTTCACCTGTCCTGCTGGGATAATTACAGACATCTGTACAAGTTTACCACAGAGATTGTGAAGTCCTAAAAGGGATGCATTAAGTTGTTGACATAAATTAAATGTAAGCCTTCTTTACCTTTGGGAAATTGTTTATTGTGTTTATTTGTGGAAAAAAAAAAAAAAAAAAAAAAAAAGCTTTTGGAAACCAACAACAGATTAATTCAAGTAAACAGCAAATACAGTTAATGCTCATTTTCTATTATAGGCCTTTAGCTTAGCTATTCTAATTGTTTCCATGTGTTATGTAAAACAAGTGTTATTTTCTGGTTGATTTAACATTCAATAGTTTTAATGTAAGTCATTCTTAATAAACTAAGATTAAAAACACAAATCAGAAGTTCTATTGCTTTCTTTTGCCTTGGATCCACTGGTTCACAATTTTACCGAGGCTGCTGTAAGAGCTGGACACTATCATCAGTATGAACCACCAGATTTCAAAGACAAACTGTTTAAAATTACAGGAGACCCTTTAGAGGTGTACTACTGACTAGAGATGCACCAATTGTAGGTTTTAATGCAGATCCCTTAAAGAGTTTTGTCTAAGTCATCACTTAAAATTGTCGTGTCAGGACAAAAATGGTCATTCATAAGTATTAATCTAGTCCTTTAGGAACGTAAACATGGTGTATATACCAAATAAGTCTGGTATTAAGCCTGGCTTAAACATTAAAATGAAAGTACCCATCCAGTTAACTCCATTAAAGCTGCTGGTGCTACTAGTGTATATTTTGTTAAAGACTTGTGTAAGGGCTGGGACAATGGGGGGGTCTTTGCTTCTGTTTACAAGCAGACCCTAAAAAGGCTTCATCTAGAGCATTGATAGTTTGCTCATTGCTCCTCATTTAACATGTGGCATTTCCACTGTTGCTGATAGACATTGCTATGGAAGTTAAAAGAGAAATCACAAAGCAACTACAGCTGCTGAGATTCAGTTTCCCAGGACGCTGTTCATCCACAAGAGATACAAGTGTTTGCAAAAGAAAGGTTCACTCAGTCAAGCAAACAAAACCAAGTTCTAGGACAGCAAGTACCTCTGCTGACTTTGGTAGGTCCACTTCTATGTTTAAAACTGGGCACAGGTACAAGATGGTGACTTCTGCATAGTCTTTTGCAAAAGTCTCCAAGAGAAACTGTATAGTCTGAGGACAAACATAAATATTTGTTGAGTATGAAAATTTGGTTAAAGAGTAAAGTAAGACTATCTTATTCATTATAATATCAGTTGTTTCCCTGTGTCATTTCACAGATCCCTAAGCAGCTCAGCCTGAGTCCTCCTCAGCTGTAGCTTGTTTAATTTATTAGGCTATTTGAGAGTTTCTCTCAAAATCCCCACCCTTCTGCACTCAAGGTAAGTTGTGATAACGTGGCTTCTCAGGAACAAGTGACTGTGTCCCTGCTGTCCAGGAGGTTCCCTGTATAGACCAACTGTAGTAACTTCCATAGGAGACTTCCATTCACCCCTTAAAGAAAAATCCTACAGAATGGCTGAGCGACAGGGCGAAAAGAGCAACCAGGTAGAGACTTACAATGCTGATAGTGTTTGCTCCTCCTTTCTTTATGTGTCGCAGCAAGAAGGTAGAAGGATCAAGAGAAGTCAAAAAGGAGCCTTGTGGCCAGCACACAGCTGAAGCCACCATGAAATGTCACTTGTTAGAAATGTTTCTGCCATTTACCTTAATGGAAAGGTCCCTGTTATTTCTGTTTCTCTATGGGAGTTAGCAGTAGCCAGTAGTTGTGGGGAACTTTGCTAACCCATGCATCTCCTCACTGTTTTGTAGAGCAGGAAAATGGGACCAGGACAAGCCACGGAGAACCTGCTATCAAAAGTGCAGTGCCCAAATCGCCACAAAACAGTGTCCAAAAGATCTGTTCAAAAGGTGAACAAATGCATTCAAGTTGACATGGATTTGGAAGAGGAGAACCCCAGTACAGATCTGAGCCTTTCTCCAACAACTGGCCTTTCTGGGAAGCTGCATCAATCTCCAGGGAACACATCACCTTCCCAGCAAGGTGCTTCCTCATCCTCTCAAGGACAGTCTGCCATGCCAGCTCTGCTACCACCGCTGCCAGCCCCCCCACCCATACCCCCTGGGCATAAGGTGCCTCCTCCACCCCTTCCCATCCCTGGCATAAAGACCTCATCACTCCCACCTCCCCAGTCATGCAGTAATCCCTTGTGCAATCATCTTACTTGTGGATATGGGAGGCAGCCCCACCCTAAGAAGACACCAACACTGAAGATGAAGGTGTTTCACTGGCAGAAGCTCCCCTCTGACGTGGTGAGACGTACGTGCTTGTTTGTAACACTGGGCTGATGGGTTAATTTACTTTGCATCCAAACAAAAATGCTTGTCTTGGGGGGCTAGGCCTTGGCTTAGTCAGTCAGGTCACACAGGTGATCCCATTGCTTGCTCTCAATCCTACAAAAAATTAGTAATCACAAATAAAGGTGAAAAGCCAGGCCTTTGACAATAAATGGAGGAGGAAATAGTAGTTTGGGAAAAGCACTGAATTGAGGGTCTGTGGCTGCTAAAATTATCTTCTCTTAACCTCTCAGTCTCTATTTGTTACTTGTTAAAGTGATGTTGTGAGTCTGTGCTACTTAAGGTTTGCAAAATCTCTGTGTGTATTGAGTGGAAAGGTCTGTTCAACAGTCATGCTCTGTGGTTCTTCCTAATGAGCTCCTGGGACATCACCGGTGAGTGTCTCCTCAGCTGAAGCTTTTACTTTTTTTTTGGTTTTTTTCCTTGCACAGCCAGAAGATGTATCAGCCAAGACCCAAGGCTGAAAACTCTTGTCAATAGGGCTGAGGAACATGTACCCTCAGGGTAGGATGTAGCCTCCAGCCTCATTTCATACTGACTATGGTTATGTGATTTGTGTGGGCTTTTTCCTCCACACAGAGCAACACTAAGGTCTGTGGTTAGCATGTGGTCTGCCAAGGGTTTTGCAAGTCCTGTTCAACCTTCAGCAAGAAGACTGTGAACATGTCTCCATTTATGCTGCAGCTTTTAATACTCAGTTCACACAATACTGATCCCATAGTTGTTCTCCATTGGGTTTAGCACCAAGAAAGGGGGACACCAGGGGGGGCGGGGTAAGAACTTGCTGCTATGATAAAATATGTGAAAAAACAGTTTGAGTTACACTCTGCTTTCTTGGGCAGAGGTACAAACTCATATTCAGCTCCAACATCTTCAGTGCCACAGCTCCAATCTCTCCTAAAGAAAAAGGAGGCGAGATCCTTTGTTAAAGATTCCAGTGTTGTAGGCAAGTTCATGTTTTGAAGTGTCATGTGTTATTCAGATGGCTCCTGATGATTCTGGTAATACTACTGGGCTTGGGAGTCTTTATCTCTTGTAAAGAGAGACATTTACCTAATTGGATGCAACATCCCCTGGTTTGGTACCACAATTCTACCATGTGTAGCCAGTCAGCAATAGCAAAATTAATTTGGAGCTGCCCATTACATTCATCCACTGCCTTCAGTTCAGTGAATTGAATGTGGTGGCAGTTTTCCAGGTTTAATTAGCCTTCAAACCTTTGGGATGCTATCTGTGGGAGCTGCCACTCTTAAATAATTAACATTTGTCCAGGACTAATAAGCATCGTATTTCATTCATCCTCTAAAGTGTTTTCCCTTCCACAAATCATACTGCCTTGAAAGTGTTCCTTTACCTCTCTGGTCCACCTTGAAGTGTTATTCTCTTCCAGAAAGCCACTCCATGTGGGCTGTGATGCCAAACAGCAGCACAGAGCTTGTAGAGCCTGACTACGCAAGCTTGGAGCTACTTTTCTCTGTCCCACCAACAGCACCTAAGGAGAAAATGGGGCCAAAAATAAAGAAAACAAAAGAGGTACTTGGACTGCTCACTTTTTGTAGAATTTTTGAGAAATTCGTGGAAGTTAAAAGCTTATTCACTGTTAATTGTTTTCCATCATTTGTAATAAGAAAGTTTGAAATATTTTGATTATGTATTGCTTAAGATTACTTAAAAAAAAACAAAAACAGAAGAGGTTGAGAATTAAACATGTTGAAGTTGCTCTGCTGAGGGACAGGTCTTCATCTGAGAGGGAGAACATGGGAATTTCAGCTATTAATTCTTACAAATTAGAATATTCTAGACAAATCAATTCCCTTCTCTATGCCTTTGCATCTTTCTCTTTCTTAAATAGATCTAATGACCTGTACTGTTGTAAATTGCTTTGAGTTTGATCAGTGAAGATTGTTGATAATGTTATTACCAGAGAAGAATTAATCTCACCCAACAAACAAAAAAGCTTTAAAATTTCTATGAAAATCAAGGTAAATGTATTTCTATCTGACTTTTTTTTTTGTTTTCACAGATCACATATATAGGTCCAAAGAAAAGCCTCCTTCTGAGTATATTTCTGAAGCAATTTAAGTGGTAAGATTTGGAGAATACCATCTGATTTACTTATTTGTTGTGTTTATGTGTTTATTCAGACATTACATGAAATAAATTTAGCAGAAATACTTTACAATCACCATCTTTAGCAAGGAGACAACTTTTATTTTGCTTTTTTTTTTAAAACTAATGAGATGTGACAGTCTTTTTCCAGACAATATCATGTCTTAAACTGATATTAAACCTAAAATGGACCACTAATTCCTAAAGAGACAACATTCATAAAAAACAGTAAAATCATGTGGAAACATATTTTTCTTTGGTATTATTGACATAAATATCAAGTGCTGGCAGCAGCCGTTTAGTGAAGATTTCTGATTGTAAGTTTCAAGTTACTTAATTGATTTTAAAGAGGTATCTCCAGGAATTCAGATCCAAAATCATGTATAGTTTTTATTTGCAGTTTTTCTGTAAATGGGAAACAGTTTCTGTAATTAAACAAATGGAAATTTACCAAGACACAATCCTCCCAGGGAGGGGAAAAAACAAAAGAAAGGAATAAGTACTAGTTTTTGGCAAAATAATTTTACCCTTAGAATCCCTGAAACTACTGCAGGATGAAAATGGATGTTCTGCTCTCTCCCTGCCCATTGTGCAATGGCCCATGGTACAAGGGCTTCAAAAAGAAACTCAGCCTACAAGTTCCTTTGAGTTAAGAATAAATTAGAATTAGTCAGAGGGATTTTTTTTATTTTATTTGTTTTCCATTGCAAACTTCTTCTCAGTGGGGAAGAGCTGTGCATAGCCTAATGCAGTTGCTATTTCCTCTCTCCACATGATTCCCTGGGCAGTGGTTAAGCTCTCCTGAGAGCATCTAGTGACCGTGGGATCAAAGATTTGAGCCCTGCTTGCACTGGTGAGGGATGAGGCTGCTCTGCAGCCAGTGCTGTCTCTCAGAGCACTGGTGGCTGCAGGGAGCCCAGCTCTCCACAGCCCAAACCAGAGCACTCTGGACTCACTTCAAAGACACGTTGTCTGACAAAGTTCAGGCAAGGATTTTGGGTAAAACCTTCTGGGATCTTTATAAATACTTCTCAGCAGGAGGAGAGCCATCGGTTTTAGCCTTGGCTTTGCTGCAAGCAATGGAGGAATTCAAAAGTAAATCTCTTCTCAGTGACACTGGACACCCACAGTAAAAGGAGAGCCTTCAGGGTTTGTTGTGTAAGGATGAACAGAGCCCAGAAAGCACATATAAATGATAAGGAATATTGCTTTAGGCTTAAAAAAATCCTTTGCTTTTTCATATCTCCACTGTACTTCTAAGATCCAAAACATAATGGGAGGTAAGTATAGCAAGAATTACTTCATTTATTCCTGCAGTGCAAGCTGAGAGATTGGGGTCTCTTCTGTTTGTCATGTTACTCCTCCTTATGCTGTTGCTCCACAGCACTTCTCTCTTTCCTACAGTTCCAATGAAGAGATTGCTGACATGATTCAGAAAGGGGATAGATCCAGACTGGATGCTGAGATACTGAAGCAGCTACTTAAACTGCTGCCTGAAGACCATGAGGTATCTAATAAGTGTGTTATTCTGATGGAGTTCAGTGTGTTTTGTGCTCAGCTTGACACACTTGCACTGCTAAAGCAAGAAGCTATGACTGGATCCCACACCCTCCTGCACCATCTCAGTCAGTGACCTTCCAAGGTAGAGCAGTGAGAGGTCTGCCCCAGCAGCAGTCTGGCCTCTGCACACAGAGCTCAGGCAACAGTGCCCTGGCAGACTCAACACAGGTGTAGACCAACTGCTGCTCTCTATTCTTATTATTTTAATTAGACAGATGAAGTACATTAGCATTTATGGACTTAGGTGAATAAAGAGCCTTTCAGAGCAGGTTTCAATGAGGAGAAGGAGAAAGGACCCATCTTTTTAAAGGGGTTGCTGGACTTCTATGCACTATTCCTTGCTGAATCCCTGCCTATGGATCACGGATTCATCCTGTACAGATGCAGATGACCTTCCCCTCAAAACAAAACCAACATGTTCACCCTTGCAAACCAGTTCAAGTATGTAATTTATTGTTCATCTGCCTTGCTGCCATTGCCTGTGCACACAGCAAGTTCAGAAAAGCAAGTTTCATGCCTCTAAGAAGCAATGGGCACCAGAAATATTTGTATGTTTATTTTACTGTTTTATTCCCCATTAGATAAATAGCCTGAAGTCTTGCAAAGAAGAAAAATCAGAGTTAGCAAATGCAGATCAGTTTTATCTCCTTCTCTTGGAAGTTCCTAGGTAAGCAAAATTTTCCTTATCTTCAACCTATGAGTGTGGTTCTTATAAGATTTGTCCATAAGAATTAAGGTCTCTGTTTTCTGAGCTAGAGGGATGTTCCTGATATTCAGTCTTCAGGATAAATCATCTGACTGCTATTTGTAGAGCTGGTTTGAGAAACTTTTCCATCCCAAAGGCCAAAGAAGCTTTCAGGTACCTTTAGCAAAATACAGTTAAGTTAACCTTGGTTTGAGAAAACTCTTGACTGTTGTACAGCAACTATCTGTATGGCATGAAGCTGCAGACTGAATCCTGCCACCAGGCTGCTGGTTTGCTCCACCCCTGGTTTAGAGATTCCAGTCTACCAAAGAGAACCCACAAACCCATAGGTGAATCACAGCAGTGTCTGTGTTTTTACTACCTCCCTTATTTTTACCAAGTCAGATGAGGTGCACACAGGGAAATCTTTATGCTGTTCATAAAAACATGGTGATATGTCGTAATTCATAGCAACAGCCCTCCATAAATCTGATCAATTGCCATGCCACAGCCAGAGACACTTTTTTGAAAATGTCATAGTAAAAATGTGACTTTTCATTTTTCTCAAACTTACAGCTAGCTCTAAAAGTATTTTAGAAAATGTTTTCATGGCTCTTCCACAACATTAACCCATTTGAGGCATAAATATCATTAAAGGTCATCACTGCAAAAATATTTTGCATTTCTGTTTGGGAAGTTAAAAGGAAGAACAAAAATCTTGGCTAGTGCTGCCTAGGAATTGTAAAAAATTATGGCCTCATTATGCAAAGAAGTCACTGCCAGATGTCAGTGCAACATTGCTTTCTGAAAGAGGAGATGATAATTGTTTCTAGGACAACTTTGGAAATATTCAAGTGTTTGATTTATTTATAATCCGGTTCTCATGTCAGAGCATTAAAGAGAACATAACATTGCTGGTACTGTGCTTTGCCTAAAATGGGTCGTTCTCTTGCTGAACACAAGTCAATTAATCAGGGCTGTGTTTTTTGGTTTTGTGGTGTTTGTTGGGTTTTTTCAACTGATCTCTTTCAGCTACCAGTTGCGGATTGAATGTATGCTGATTTGTGAAGAAACAAAAATTCTGCTGGAGTGTCTGTGGCCAAAAGCACAAGCCATCAGGACAGCCTGTGAAAGTAAGTACATCAGTGCTGTGTCTGTGCCCAGGCTCAGTAATAGGAAGCCTCTCTTTTACTTGAATAACATCAGTGGTAGCATATGCTATAACCTAATTAAAATTAACATTCTGATTGATGAATATGTAGTGAACATCAAAATGATTCTGCAGATTCCTGCTTCTTGAATTCATTCTGCAGAATTGCAATTTGTGCTGTCCTGGTCTGAAGTGGAGCTTCCATTAACATGAAAAATACAAACCTCTCTCCTGTCAGTGGTTCTGCAGAGAAGAAGGGAATTTCCTTTATGTCAATGCCAGATTCTGTTTGACTGTAGGTTAAATTTTTGTGTGCAGTGGAGATTTTTGCCCATAACAATGAATCAGTTCCAGTTTTTCCTCTAGTGCACACTGGTTGCAGTCCAGCTCAACTCTGTGGTGGAGCAGGCCAGTGCCATACCAGAATCTGGTTTGGCTTCCAAAACAGACATCCCAGATGATATTTGCAAGTGTTTCAGGAACCCCCTCCACACAAAACTACCTTGGTTTTAGTTTTAAGTCAGCTCTTTCTTGAAGCTGCTCTTGGATTCTAGCTTCAGTTCAATAATTTTAGAGAGTCACTGACCTCCTGTTGAACAGTTAAACTGCAGGACTTTTGTTTACATTTGCACATAAAACTTGGCTATACCTGGCTGTCCAGTGTCAGTGCTATAGTTACTCTTTATTGTGTTGCAATCAACAGTTCTCTGCAGTTCCACCCTGTCGTCCCCATCCCCTCTCCATCTCGTTGCATGGGTCAGTGTTTCTGTTCTAGTTCTGCCAAAAACTTTATTCTTACCCCAGATTCTCCTGCTAAAACGCACAGCTTCTGGTTATCACTCTCCCTAATAATGATAACGAGCAAAAAACCCTTTGCTTTTCTTAACCTAGAATAATAAGTGGTAGAAATGGGGGCTATAGACTTCGACAAGTTTATACACTTTCCCATAGGCAGTTCTCCCTCCTAAGTGGCTGCAGGGATGACACATCTATACACCAAAATTGATGGGGAAACTAGTTTTCCATCTATTTGTAAAGAAGAGAGCACAACAGAAACTTACTCATTCCACTTCCATTCAGCTGATTTATTTCTGTATTGGTACATTTCCAAATCCATAACAATGGCCTGACATAATCTTGGATGAGAATTTTGTTATCCCCACTGTCAAACCTAGGGCAAATCCTATTTCAGATCATTTAATTTAATTTATTGAAAATGTCTCTCTTTTTATTCTTCAGCACTTCTTACCAGTCACCGACTGCCAGTTTTCTGCCAATTGATTCTTAAAGTTGGAAACTTTCTGAACTATGTAAGTAAACCAATTTCTTTAATTGCTGTACTTCTTAAGATAACAGAAAGTACAAATGCAAGACTTGGAAACCAAAGGAAGGAACTTTTTTCTGTATCTTCTAGGGGCATCACACTGGAGATGCTGGAGGCTTTAGAATTAGTGCCTTGCTCAGACTAACAGAAACAAAAGCAAACCGAAGCCCCATTACTCTGCTTCACCACATTTTGGAGGTACAACAAAACTGTGAAATTATTCCTGCGTGCATTATTCTCAAATATTAATTCCCCAGAAACTAAGGGGCTTTGACCTCAGTAGCACACCACCATAGGCATCCGGAGGGTGAGCTTTGGTCCCTAAAACATGATGAAAACTTTTCCACTGCTTTTTGTGCAGACAGGACCAAATTCATACGCAGTAATGTTTAGAGAGTTAACACTAGGTTTTCTTTCTCGAGTTTGCTTAACATGTCTGCATGCTGTGTTCTTTCTCTTCTTCTCCAACTGCTCTCTTGTGTTGATGTCTCCCAAACACATCTGTCAAATTAAATTAATTTTAGAGGTATGAAGACAAAGTCTCAGGTCAGCTTGTACACTGTGACAGGACATGGGATGTAAGCCTGAGCAGTTAAAAGAGCCTTTTGCTTTCTTTTTAACTCCCTATGGGTACCAACATGAGAAAAAGAATGAATGAGCCTGAATTTACCCCTATGCTTATAAGAATGAAAACTGAAGTGCTCATTTTTTAGTCCTGATGTTGTCAATTTGAAAAACTTTCATACTCTTTGACTGACTGTGCAAGGTAACCATTTTTCACTTCAACTTTAGGAGATTGAAAAAAACCACACAGACCTGCTGCAGCTTCCCAGAGATCTTGACTTTGTTTCCAAGGCAGCAGGGTAGGACATTATTGTTTGTTTCTGTCATGTATGAATTGCCAACCTCTTTTAAGCCAACAAGGAGCTGAGTCATTTTATGGTGGTGTAATAAGGTCGCAGGACTTCTCTGCTGTGGGGGAGAGAGATTCCCTTCTAACATCAAACGTTGTTAAGATTTATAAATTAACCTGGTTAAGACTTTTTACGTGGAGCTTAGTGTGATTTTTCTTTTGGATGCCCTGGTGCTACCTTAGAAGTAAAACTGTGTAAATAGTGAACTCTCTCATTTTCAAGGACCGGATTCTTCTTCCATATATTGCAATACAAACATATCTTCCCTGAAATTTCTCAGTTATTCATGTGCAAGCCCATCGGGAGGTACATGTGTGGAGCTAGCATAAGGAGGGAATGATTGGGGTGATTTACTGGCAATTGGGGGACCTCAGGAATTGAGTACCAGCACAAGTTTCTAATATATGTGGGTAGAAAGAAAAAATCTGGGTTTTGCAGACTTTCTCCCATGTGCCTGAAACCCTCATGAGTCTAACACCAGCTCTTTCTGTTTAGCTTAGAAGAATCCCATGGAGATATGTTAAATTACACTAATCAGAACCCACATTTATAGCACCAGGATTAACATTTTTTATTCCTGTTATGAATTCATAGGAACCTTGCAGTGTTGTACATTTCCTTGTAACAAGAAGCAGGGGTAACTTTTACATTTGGAGATGGATTGCTATTTGTTAAGTAGCTGCTAAATAATTTTTTAAAAGTATTTTTATTCAGTAATGCAACAGAAAATATTAAGGCTTTTGTGAGTTATCTGTGCAGAATTTAAGTTGGATGTTATTTTGAAACATAAATTTCTTTTGGGGATGTGTCATAATAGAAAAACTTTTGTTACCTGAAACTAAATGATATAAACATGCTCTTTTTTTATAAAGTAATTGCCCTTTAGTTTAGTCAAACTCTCAAACTTAAAAAATTATTTACTAATCAACCTGTGGAGAACTGTTTACAATGCAAATCCTGCAAGAGACTCATCTAATGCTGCTCACACCTGGATACACCATGAAACATCACATCAGGTTTTGCTGATTCAGTATTCTTTGTCTGGCACAAGAATAGGTCAGACCCATGGAAGACCCATGTTGGTTCAGCACTGTAATGTGTTTGTGTCTCCAAGTGAGCTAAATGAACTTGAGAAGAGATACAATTTTGGACTATAAATAGATAAGGGAGAAAAGGCAAGGAGGGAAAAGACCCAGCTAAGTAAGGATAGTATTGGCACAAGGGAGGTGAGCTTGTGCTGCCTACAACTGAAAATAGGCTGGAAATTTTGGAGGAGTTTTTTGCATACTAGAACAGTGAGGTTCTTCCACAGTCTGTTCTTGGAGGTAGTAAGGGCAAAAGCACAGATTCTTTCTTAGATGAGGGTTTGAGCACATAGAAAAGGATTTATATAGAGAACTACTTGCAAAAGCAGGGTGCGGGTTGGACAATTAATTCTACATCAATTTCCAGAGATTATACTGTTTATCATAATCTTTTAACTTAATGAAAACAGAAGATTCACCCCTCCAATGTTACTGTCCCTTTTGTGGACCTTTCAGAATCCACTTTGATGTTATGCAGGCTGAGGCAGGTGCCAATTTGAAGAAACTGCTGGAAATAGAGAAGCGTTTATTTTTGTCGACAGATGATTTAAAAATACAGCATGCAAAATCTGTTCAAGTAGGTAATGTGGGTGTGACACACTTCCCATCCTTCTTCCTAAACACTTTAAATCTCTTCTCAAAGGCACTGTAATTCAGGTTGAAAATGGACATAAAGCTCTGTGGGAAAGAGGTCATAACTACACTCCCCCTGCACCCGGGTGGAAGGAGCATGCCAGATTTTCCTCCACTTCTGTAATGTGGTATCATGATAAAGAAACAGCTGAGGACCAGTCAGCTTTGTGTGTGGGCACAAGAAAGGAAGGCCCTAAAAATGAAATGTAGGACGCAACTAAAAATGCACACAATGCAGTATAGAAACATGTTTTGCCTCACTGTTCTTTGGGGGGGGGAAAGGTGAACAGATTTGCAACAAACTTTTTTTTTTGTTTGGGTTTTTTGTTTTTTTTTTTTTTGCACATATTTCCAAACATCCTAGCTTTTCATGTTCTCAAAACAGAGTCATTTAACTAGAGCTAAAAGGTAGAAATCCTGGTGCTGTATCTCCCTTGATCAGTCATTCCAGGTTGCACCAAATTTCCCCATGGTTGTATGATGAAAGTGGCAACATACAATGGGCTGCTTTGGGCCAAAAGAAATGCAGATGCTTCAATCTATGAGAAAACATTCTGAACCAATCTTAATTATCAGTCTTTTAAAAACTGACTGCTCTGTGTTAACTGGTTTGAGTCTTATGGGCAGCGCAGAATATGCGACTCCTTAACATGCACAAATTCTGTTGCAAACTGTGTCTCAGGGCGGTCTCGATGCTTTAAAGGACCTGCAGAAGGAGTTTGCCACCATTGAAAAGAAGAAGGAAGAACTTGCTGATTATCTTTGTGAAGACCGAAAAAAATTGTCTTTGGAAGATGTATTTAACACAATGAAAACCTTCAGAGAGCTCTTCCTCAAGGTTTTACAGGTGGTTTGCATTTGTCACTGTTTAGAAACAGATTGAGAACTTTATTTTTTTTAAGCAAGCAAGAGTTTATTTTTTTCCTACTCCAAGCTGGGCTATATAAACAATGGCTGCAGGAGTAAATTAAAATAACTGTTTATTTACTTGCAACCTGCAGCAAGAAATGAGCATGTGGGCCAATATAAAATGCGTTTTATTTTTTTTTCTATGAAGAACTAAGAACCCTCCAAGTTGTTGTTCCCACTGTAAAATTATTAGTCAGGTCTCAATGCAATAGGAGCTTAGTGGTGTGGGAAAGAATGAGCGCCCTGACACGCTTTATTGGCTTTGCCAATAGGAAAAAGGCAAAGCCTAATTGGAAGATATGTTTACATGTAGGTATTTCATTGTACTAGTTAGTTCAAAACAGTATGTTTTGTGTCCCCCACAAAACTATGAATCTCCCAAGAGATTATATTTGGCACTTTATTAGTTTATAAGGCTTTACTCCTTGCAGTATGGAGTAAGAAACAGCAACTTAACCATAAAAGTTGCCTAGAGCACCTTCCAATTTGTAAGCCTCCATTTCACATCTCCTACTGCATACTTCACACCTGAACTCATGTGCTTCCTCTGGGGTTTTCTTAATGACAGGTGACAGTGGCTTCACCTTTATATATTTTAACAGCAACAATCACCCACTTCTCTGCTGACTCCAGCATAGCCCTAGACTGGATTTGCCTTCTATAGAGGGAATCATCAACATAAAAGATGTACTGCAAGAATATGGACAACTGTGCTGAGCAATGTCAAGGCAGGAGCAGGTGAAGGAATGCTTTAGGGCAGATCATCATTTCAGATGAAAACTTCTGAGGAAGTGTTAGAAGAGGAAGATGAAAACTATATCCTGTAATGTCCCCACTACCTGTTTCTCTGTGAGGCATTCTACTTCTGTTTTGCAAACAATACAGCTACCCAGGCTCCAACACAATGTGATAGCACCATAAACAGTCTGCAAAATAAACCCTACGAACCGTGGATCCTTTGGAAATACACTTGACTCAGAGTTCCTAAAACTAGGCAGGAAGGAAAGAATTAAGACAGTCAAGAACATCATGGCTCAGCATCTGTGGAGAGCTACAGTAGAAAATTTCTGTGAAGGGTAAATCCAGCAACTGCAATTCTTTTAAGAAACAATCCCAATAAAGGTTATGTAGTGTCCTAGTACAGCTGAAGAAGATTTAAACTACTTTTTCAGGTGCTGATAGTTCACAGACAGGTTGGAGCAACTAGAAGGAAGCTTTTTTTTTACCTACCCAACATGTAAACTCCATTTCATCCTGTTTTGGTTCCACTTCTCAGCAGCACCTCACTTCAAAGTTACCACAGCTGTTAGCCACGTTCTATGCATCTGTTACCTCCATTGCAGACCTGTAATGTAACCTCCTCTCCTTTCCTGCCTTGCTTTCTCCCTATAGCTGTAGTAAAGATACTGCCTGTGCTTGAAACAGCAACATGCTGAAAAGTGAAGGTTTTAATTTTTAAAGTATTCTATTATTCTGTGATTTTGATTTTTACACTAGAGTCAGCCACATGTATCATCTCTTTTTAGTGCCATTTGATGTATGCTTTAAGGCTAAGGTGTAACTTTTATTTTGAGATGAGTCTTCTGTGTAAAGCATGTCTCTTAGCATTACCAAAATCGTTAATGCTATCTTTCCATTCTCACATCAAATAAGAAGGGAAATAATTTTGATAAATAGTGATCCTTCATGGCTTCTAGGCTTACCTAGAGAGATTTCTGGGTTTGTTATTTCTTTGTTTAAACAAAATCCTTCTCCATCCCTGAAGGTTCTTTCTGGTCTCTTATCCCCCAGGTAATAAAAACTGAGCTACCCAACTGAAACTGCTATGATAAGAATCTGTCCTCTTCCTTTCCATCTACTTGGCAGTGTAAAAAAAAATTAAAAAAAAAAAAATCAAACAGATAAATGATCCCCAAAGCTGACACTGTAAAAAAGGAGCTGGTTCGTTACCCAAGGCTGATGACTCTTCTACCAATTCTCAAAAAATAACAGAAGCAGATGGAAGGAGGAAGGAGACAGGAATAAAATAGCTCCCCAGCTCAAAGATAAAAAGACCGACTTGGAGATACACTGAGAATTGAGCTATAAAATTGTGGGGGAAAGAAACTCCGTGCGATTACAGGGGATTGGGAGAAACATCTGATTTCCCTTAGCTCTTGCAGCTGTTCAAAGAGGGGAGCTCCCCACGAAGACACTGTCTAGACTTCATGCTCTAGGAAGTACTCAGTTGGTGACAGAGGCTGTACAGACAACTCTGCGCAGGGATAGTTCCTCTGAGTGTTTCCCTAGGATAACAGAGCTGGAGCAGCTGCTCCTCAGTAGGGTGCATATGGTGTTGGAACAGGATGTGTTTTAGATAGCGTGGGGATAAACAGTTGTCATGGAGCATCTTTTAATTCAAAGATCAAGCAACAATCTAATGTCCCACAAAGTGTAAATCCAATGTGACACCCCTCTTTCATTTAATGTCATCCATACAACTGCCTTCAGTAATCCAGGAGATGGAGAAGGGATTGTGAACATTCATTCCTCTGCCTTGCTACCACTTTACTTTGTTGGGCTTTCTTGTGTTAAAGAAACTCTGTTAACAGTGCGTTTGTGTTGAATTGTTATGTATAACCTTTTTTAAATTTTATTTTATTACTCTGAAAAATTAAGTTCAGGCTTGCTCAATCCATAAATTTCTTCCTTGCTCAATCCATGAATTTATTCGTAATGTGCCTCAGTACAATGTGTGCTGCTCAAGTAGCAGGAAAATGTATCTCTGAATAAACCTCCTTTATTTCTTGTGGCAAGTTACATAGCAACATTCTCCTGAGACTCGCAGATCTGCAAGTCTCCCAACAGCTATAATATCTCAAAAACAATATGCTAAGACACAGCAGTAATTTATCAGGCAAAAATGTAGGAGGCATACAGTGATGAAAGGCTTTTAGCCCCTCTGTAAGACTTCACCACCTGTACCTCATTCTTTCCAAAGCACCCTCAATTCAGGGCAAATAAATCCTTTACTTTCTCTGTCAAGAGTACAGCATTTTTCTCTCCTTTTTCAGGCATCCAGTGAAGGTCCCCATAACTTTGAGCCTATAATGCTCTTGTATTTCAGAGGAACTAACTCTATTACGTTCACAAGTTTTCTTTATTTGTCTGGAAATTTCTTTGGACCAAAGTATCCTAGGCTTTTACTTTTTAGAAAGGCTCTAAGAAACTTGTGCATGTTTCCTGGGACTTCTTCAGCCCATCTTATGGAAATAGTGGCAGATGATGGATAGCAATTAACCAAATCTGTCACTATAATGGGAAAATGTCTTTTCTGCTGTCAAACTCTATGCAAAAGAGACTAGACATGTTTCATCAAGAAACTGGCCTTATCTGCACCAAAACGTCAACATCTTCCTGGGCATTATTAAATTTTGTAATATGACACAGCAGCACCCTCCTCTCAACATCACAAATCTCTATGACAGCCAGCACAATAACTACTGATCTACCTACAATATGTATGTCAGCTACTGACTGGCTGGAATCAAAAGCAGGCAAGCTTCCAGGTGGTGATGGCAATGTTCTGATGATGCTTGCAGCTCTGGAACAAGGACTGCATAAGCTTTTAAGAAAATTGTTTTTGTCATCTTGATGTTCTGCTACAGTTATCGCAGTTGATCAGAGCTGCCCTCTCCTACAACTGTGCTACTTATCAAAACCCAGAAATATTCCTCCATTGAGTACAGGTCTTCCTTTACTAGGAGTAATTGTTCAATTTCTTTCTCAATTTCTTTTTAATCACACCACCCCAGCACCAGCAGCTCTGTGGGAGCCAGAGTGCTGCCTTTCTGCCTAAATCCCCATAGGATTGATGCCATCCTGGCAGTTGTGTGACTGGTACCAACAGACATCCAGTTTGGACTCTGCCACTGAACACCAGCACAGAAATACAGCTGGCAAGTGTAATGGGTGCCTGAAGAGAAACTGTGAGTTACTATTGAACACAGTTGAGTTCTTGAAACTTCTAGCAGAAATCCCTGAATAGAAACAATAAAAAAATCAAGGTTGCTATGGGATAAATCTCCAGAATGTTAATTAAGTTAAACTCAGGTTCTGTTTTGTGGACAAAGGGACTAATTAAGAAGAATGCATTTCAGTCCATAGTTGAACCTTGCAGTTAAAGCTAATGAAATAATTCCCTGGTAACATCATCATACAGAGAAATCCAAAGGGATTGACTAGGAAGCTCTGTTCTGCTATTTACCCTCAAACCCCAGCAGCTGACTGTTTTAAGTATGTATAGGGCATATTCAGAATAGGTATTCATTGCAAATTGAGAGTTTCTTAACAAGCTTTTAATCCAGTAACTCTTCATATTTATTTTTTATTTGTCATTCTGTCTGAATGCAGGAAAATCAAGAAAGGAAGGAGCAAGCTGCAAAGTCTGAGAAAAGGAAGAAACAGCTTAAAGGAGAAGACATGAAGAGGCTAAAGGGAGAGTATGGAAAGAGCAGTACATTTAACAAAAATTAATTCTGGTTTTATTATCCAGTCTTTTGTTAATTATGGGGAAATTATTTGGTTAGCTGTGAATGATTTAATACAATGAGAGTGATTTAGCCACAGGTTGTGTAGTTGTCAAGCAGATAGTATAGTAACACGTCAATTTTCAAGTGCATATAAATGATCAGAAGAAATCATGATAGGGATCTTGAAAAACAAATCACTCCCAATGAGCAAGTTACTACCATTTTGCTTAGAGGTGGGTGATACCCTGCTCTGAATCCTTGTTTGAAGACTTTTAGAGGTATATAGAAAGTTGCACGTATTTGAACTTCAAGCTCCGCTGTGTCACTGTCGTAGGCAAGTTGTGTCACGTGTTACTGTTACCACAACATTTGCTTTTTTCTGATTAGGGGTCTGATTCCTTAAAACTGGTATGCGTGTGTGTGTAAAGGAGTATCTGTGCTTTGCTGAAGAATGGCTGATTGACATAAGGGCAGAAAAGCATTTGCTGTGCTGGTCTTACCTGGGTGTGAAGCATTTCTAGTGCCAACATTGGCATGTGTGTATTTTTAAATTTTATTTTGGCAAATACTTGACATCCACTTATCTAAAATTTCTGGCAATAACATTTGGTTATGATTCTTGATTCTTTAGAGAACTGCTGCAAAAAATGGCATTAGTAAATCTGAGTGGAGTTTGTGCACTAGATGCTCACCCCTTGGAAGACTGTGTTTTTCCTTATATCAGATGCCTAAAAAAATGGCTTTCTTTTAGCTCCTCTTCCACAGTTACTAATCTTCAGAAACACATTTTAAAAATACATATAAGTACATTGAAAACTGACCAAACCAAAGTTTTCAATAGTCTTGACAAGCTGTACTGCAAATATGTTTTACGTCCTTTGCAATTGTAGAATGCTTAATGTAAAGCTGCAGATTAAAACAATAAACCTTTTTGCTGTAAATACAGAAAAGTAACTTAGTATATGGTAAAGCAGAATTATAAAGCAACACTCAGCTTTAGGATTAAAGGTGTGCTTGAATTCTGTGAAGAGAAGGAGTACCAGAAGAACCTTCTGCGCCCCCAACATGAAGTTTAGGTGTAACTGTAATAATCTTTGGTCCTTTGAGAGAAGATGGATTTAATTCTTGGGATATGAACTTAGTACTTTCAGTATTTATTTTAGAAAACTGTGTGTAGCACTGTTGACAGTGAGAATCGGGCAATTTTTTAATCTATTTTTACTTGCATCAGGATATGGTGACATGAACTATAGAGGGTATCAGCTCTGGCATGGCAGGATCTTGAGGCTCATTTTAATGTTCTTCAGTCTATGAAGTCTAAACCCTTTCTTTTAATCATATAACTGGCAAATTAAGTAACTCTGTATTTATTTTCCGAAAGAGGGAATGAAAAGACAGTATATCTGGTGAAACCCTATTAGCATGCGTTTACAGGATTATCAGGGCCTGGTTCCACAAAGAATTACACCTTTAACTTTGCAGGTATCTCCCCTGAAGCCAGAGATATACAGCGCACAGGGTAATCCTGTGCATAAATCTTTTAAGGCCCCAATCCCACAGCCTTTGAATCTCTGACCTTAACTCCAGTCACATGCTCTGCCAGTGTCAATGTCTGGTTTATCCAGTTGTCTGGGGATCGTTTCTCTGCAGTTGACAGATCTGCCACGGACAGCACACAGCAGCAAAGTCTCCTGGGGCAAGCAATACTCTCCCAAGTTCTAACAGAAGAAGTGAAGGCAGAAGCACCCATCACTGATTAATTATTACCAGATTACAAGGTTACTTGCAGTTACTGAAAAGTGCTGAGAACCAAGCTGAGTCAGAAGTTGTTACCAAAATTCAAATGTATGGCAAGATTCAGAGAACAGAGCAATATCCTACTTGATGCCAGGTATTCAAAACAGCTTTTCTGTGAATAAAACTTAAGATAGGATTTCCAAAATAATTTGGTGACAGACTCAGATATCATGGGGGGTTTTTTAACTCCTCTGAACACGTTTACATATGTATTAACATTACAATTTTTTTTCCATGCTTGATAATGGATTAAGCAGCTATCCTGCTTTATTTTCTTCAGCTTCTGTTGCAGCAGCTTCTGTTACTGGGCATTTAAATTATTCAGGAGAATTGTATCAGATACTTGCAAAGATCAATTCTTATGTTATTTCAAGAAAAATAAGATATATTATAATATATCATACATGTCTTATTTCAAGAGAAATTACATATAGAGGTTTCTTTAGCTAACCAAGTGGAAAAATGAGCTAATAGAAACCAGGTGACACAGCTAATGACCAGACCAAGCAAGAGAACAAAAGCACTTAACAACAAAATACAGAAATGTGCAGTTAAATATCTGGTCAGAATTTATGTATGTCACTTTACTACTGTAATGGCAGCAGAAAATTAAATGCTATTAAAAGATGAAGAGCAAGTAAATTTTGATGAACAGTACAGGAATTCCACAGCATAACTACCATCATTACATATAGAAACCAACTGCAAAAGCAGAACCCCAGTCCAATTTCTTATACATTCAGGGTCAAATACAGGAGCTTTTCTCTGGCAAAATTCTTATTGTCTGTACTCACACAGAACTTATTCATTTGGCTGCAAGTAACAAACCAATATATGATAAAATGTCATCAGCATAAATTGGTCTTGCAATAGTAAAAGCATCTAGTCTTCAAGAGCTGGGGAAATAAGCAAATCTTACTGCTTACTGGGTTACTGTTGTATTGCTTGGATTTGCTTTTTTAAACCATGTAATAATGGTTTAAAAACTGTGTATTAAGGACAATTACAACTTCTAATGCAGAGTTTACTTACAACTGCATTGTACTCTGCTATGTATTTGCAATCCAGGCTGTATTTCATTTTTATATATGTTCATTTTAGTAAACAAAGTTAAACAAATGTACCTGAATCTGTGAGGTATATTAGCTGTGGTTTAAAATCATGAACTAGCAAATAAGATCCCCAAGTGACTCCTCTGCTGATTCTGAATATAGTCTTGGTATTTTTATTTTATTTAAGTGGCATTATTTTCAGGTACAACTGCAAGGACAGACTATTTGTCTCTTAATCTCCTAAAGAAGATGGTGAATAAGTGGGAAAAAGCTTTTTAATTGCACCTGACAATACAAAACTGTTAAGCAGTGAAATTAATTCCACATAAATGCTAGAAAACTGCAAAGATTTTTTATTTTTTTTTTAAAAAAGCTTGACCCCATGCCCCATAGGTCAATGAGTTTGCCACAGTTCTTTCATTGGGAGCCTGGTAGACTTCAGGCCATGCTCTTATGGACATAAAGAAGCATAACCATATTGCAATGCTCCTTTAATCTCTTTTTAAAATATAAATCTCCCTGCAGAATCTCCAACTTATTATATTGGCTGGTGAGGTGACTCAAATTGAGCTAATTTCATTAAAATGTCTTTCAATAGACTTTATGTGATCTTATTTCTGTGCATATTATTTCCTCAAACAGCTGAAAGAATGTGAAGAAGCCTCTAGTTTTGGTACCAGCTTGCTTATTTGTTGGGCAGAGAAAGATGCTACTTAATTCAGTTACTAGAGGGCTCACCCTAGGGTGCCAGAGACTAAAGTTCCTGTTCATGTCTCTAATCGGGGGAAAAAAACAGATTTGAAACGATTTCAAACCACAGCTGAGACCCTTAACTCCTCAGCCAGTCTGTGGTGATAGTCCAAATATAAGTTTGGGGGGCATCTGCTCTGTTTTATACATTCACTGTTCATGAGGGAGGGGCCTGGTAGCAAAGCAGAAGACCCAATGGGGAGATCCCTCTCACAGCTTGACACAACAAGAACAACCGTGGGATAAATTGCCTGTGCCCACCCAGAGACTTGTAGTTGATTACTGAATTCGGTGGCATCTAAGCAGCTTTTAAAGTGTTGCTTAAGTATTTGACCTGGGCATCTAAATAGATGGATACATACTTTTTGAGGGTTTGGGCCAAAGTCTCCAGAAAAGACCTATAGCACTGAGACTTACACAGTTAGTAAAGCTGGTCTAACTCAAAGCAGTTAATGCTGAATAATTTTTGCCTAATCTCTTCTCAAAAAATGCCCAAGGACACAGGACTCCTGCAGCCTGGACAAGCTGCTGCTGTGCAAAGATGGTGCTAAAATGCCATCCTTAGGAGTAGTGTCAGGGCAAAGCTGGTCTTATTCACAGCTTCTGTTTCAAGCTTAATACACCTTTATATGCCTTCAAGTTTAACCATGTTTATCAGATCAGTTGGCTTAGCCTAATAAAAAGCAAATTCTTTTCATTTCATCCTACCCACCACAGTACCACGCTGTTTAATTTGCAGCAGCCTTTTACATATTTGGAGGCTGTTATCATGTCACCTCTGGTCTTCTTTTTCCTAGACTAAACAATCCCAGCCCTTTCAGTTTTTCATCCTGGGCTTTCCCAGTTTTTTTCATCCTAGGGTTTTCCAAATCTGTGTTCATGCACTTGTGTCTCTCTTCTAGATTTTATTCAACTGGATCTCATCTTCCTCAAAGTGCAGTGCTGGGTCTCTACCAGGACTGAGGGAAGTGGAAGGACACCTTCCTGCATTTTACAGGTTGTTCTTCCACCTCAGCATGAGGTTTGACTTCTTTTGCAACCCTGTTAACAGTTTGACTCCTATTCAGAGAGGCATCCTGGTCTCCAGCGTGATACTTGTCGCTTCCAGCTTCATGCCATCTGCATGTTGAATAAATGCACTCTACTGCACACTCCAAGTCTTCCATGGAAAAAGAATAAAAATTGAACAAGAAACAGTCTTTACTATTTGTCTGCATAAATCAGTCTTTACTATTGTTCAAATATAGTTTTTCACATGCTTGTGCACCATTTTAATATTTTTTTCAGGGCTGTGAACAAACAAGTGTTTGGTAAAAATGTAGTTCGGAAAAGAAACAGTATAGTTGTGATTAATTTATTCTGCAGTAAATCTGAAGTGCACTGCTTTAATCATGTGGACATATTT